GTTTCGTTTAGATCTAATCAAAGACGCCATTGTAAACAAGTGAGGTGTCCGTTCACTAGCTTGCGTACTGAATCCACACCTTTGAAATGATGGAGTGTACAACTATGAAAGCAGAATACAGAATCAATCTATACATGTATTATATATTTGGCAACTTGGAAAAACATTTGTCACTTTTCTCTCAAGATTTATTGCTCCATTCCAGTAAAGTGTAAATATAGTAGGCCAATGACTTTCAGTTGATGTTAATGCACCGATCATTCCTTTATCGAAAGGGAGCCCAGCTAGTTGACAATATGTGTCATGACTCCGTGGAATCAGGCGCTCGTCAGTTTTTAGGCATGTGAAGTTATTGGTATAATCTTAAAGTTTCTTCATTTTGTCTTGCTTTCGATTTAAAAAATTATCCATTTATTTTCAGTAGAAATCAAGATAACTGCGATTGAAGGAGATGGAGGTTTCCTGGTTTCAGAGGTAAAATTAGCGAGAAAATGGCTGCTAAAGTTCGGTAACTTCCAAAGCTTTAGAATTCTTCGAAACAGTAAATTTACGTTTTCTGTTGTTTTTCCGTAAAATCCACACAGCAATATATTTTCAAATAGACATAAAAGGAGTGGGTCAAAAAATAGAAACTCGACAAAAATTGCCAAACGGGAAGAAAATTGCCGGTTTCTTTGATTTCATTATTTTGACAGGTGCCAGATTTCACCACGATACCTCACAATTTCACCACAATGCCTCACATATATAGACAGAACCAAAGATTTGAGGATAATGGGCACAGAAAGTTATAAAACTATAACTTGATTCAAAGATATTGGCACGAAATGTGACACAAAGTGTATATTTAACATTTGACACAATAATGGTCCGTTCTCACCACACTCGAGGCACAACACACTTGCCTGGTACATACATGGGAAACTCTCAGCCAAGGAAAGAGGCAACAGAGAGGGACCACTGCCCAGGCAGAAAACAAAAGCCTCTGCCACATTTGTCAGTGTGTGTATTTCCTTGCCAGAGGTGTGTGTTGTGAAATAAAGAGGGACAGATGTGCCAGAGGCTTGTGCTGAGTAAGAGTGCATCTCCTTATGTGCGACGCGACGTCACATCACATGCAGTCCTTGCTGCTCCAAAATCAATCAAGTAAAATTATAAAGAACCCATGTCCATACCCACCTCGCGACGTCTAGTTGCACGCGACTGTTGCCAGCGATTGGTCCATGTAGCGATTGAGACTTTGTTGAGCGCAACATACTGGGGGCATGACAGGTTTAAAACGTCACCATTGGCCAAAATACCTAGCCAATGAGTGCTTGTCAACATGTCGTGTAATGTTGTCTCGAGAAAAAATACACACCCAGCGACTCATAACTAGCAACGTCGTGCCTGACGCAATGTCATGTCGTGCATAAGGAGATATAGTCTTAGTGAAGTCACATGTGTGTACATTGACAAAGTGTGGTGTGTAATTGAAGTCAAAGGCATGTGTGTTGTTTATGTGTGTTGTTTAAGTGTAAGCGTGGTGTGTAAGTGAAGTCAAAGGCGCGTGTGTTATATAAGTGTATTGTGTGAGTGGAGTCCCATGCATGTGTGTTGTCTGAATGTGTTGTGTAAGTGACATTGCAGTTACATGCGTTGTGGAAGTGTGATGTGGAAGTGGACGTCACAGGTGTGCTATGTGTGTAAGTGAAGCGGGAATGTCCATTAACTTTCATTAAAGCTAAATATTTAGCTCAACACCAGATATGGAATAAGCTCGGCACAAAAAATTTAATGTCTTCAAAATTCACCTCGCATCATACATGGCAATAAGCTTCCAATACTATCACAAGGCAGTACATACAAATGTTGAACTCAAACTCTCCCTCTGTCCGTCCATCCATCCATCCATCCTTCCCTCTCTCCCTCTCTCTCAAATGAAAACAATAGAACGGAAAGAGGTATTTAAGCTTTACAATGGCATACAAAGCACTACGTTCCTACAATCTAAAAAATGAATATGTTTGAATCTAATGCTTGTAACTCCCTTCACAGGGCATGATAGTACACTCTGAATGTGCGTCCAAAAAAATCAAATTTTTGCAGCAGCTTCCTTTTCCTTAGTTTTGTTTCGTTTTTAGTAGAGGTTTTATGGCGCTAGCAACTGCATAAGGTCATATGAGCGCCAAGGGGTGGATGTCAACAAAGAAGTCCTTACAGGGAATCAGACTCACTCTGCTCACCTCTCTAGCTTCAGCAGCACAAAGTCTGCTTCGACTATCAAGGCACCCTGGAAATAGCGGGTCACAAGAGTGTGACAAACATACAAAAGAAGTAGAGGAAAATGATAATAGTAAGGATTAGGGAAGAAAAAGCAGCAGTTCCCTGTTGTAGTTCAGGCACAGTTATGAGCATGACATTGTTAGATCAGCCCATTGACAATTCTACTGTGCACTAGAACGAGAAATGTCCCCCCTTTGGGAATGGCCAAAAGACACTTCAGTCAGTGGCACCGCCCCGGGGGGTATTCGTTTTCCCAATTGCAGATTTTTATGCAATTTCAAATTGAAAAAACATAAAAATCAGCACTTTTTCATGACAGCACAGAACAATACACAATACTGAGGGATCTAATAAAATAGAAATTCTGCCAAAAACAGGCACTGTGCGCAAAACTTTTGTAATTAATAATGCCCATAGAACACAGTACAACAAATATTTACGATAAATATTTAAGTCACTTTGAAATATTTCCTTTATTCTTTATACAATTATATCACCTTTAAAGTCCATAAAAAAATATCCCTTAATTTTCATGAAAGTAAAACTGGCTGAATATATCAAGAGAATAAAATGAATCTTTTTTAAAAACTACATAAAACTGACGTGGAGTAAAAAGACAATAAAGATAAAACTGGATCTCTTCAGCCTGCTCTTTCATAATTTCAAGTTCCTTCAAAATAATTCTTCCGAAGCCAAAACCGAATCTTGAAAACCAAAAGTCAAAAGTGCCATTACCACTGTTTTGTGAAAAGTAAAACTGAAAATTGTAGCCGCCTGGCATTTCTAATATACTTACCACTTCACCTTTCCTTTTCGTATTTTATGCTAGACGTGTGAGTGAGAGTTGTAAAAAGAAATATATAACGTTATTTAATCATACTGTTGTTTCATCTCCTCAATTTTTGGCAATTTTGGCAGTTGGGACAATTTAGTTTCAAAGGGTCACAGATTTCTAAATTCATAGATCGGTCTTGGTGTCAGAATAAAACAAAATGAGGGCACAGGTAAGGCAGCTTTGACTGACATGCACACAATCAGTTGTCACTGAACCCTTGAAAATTACCTTCTGTTAGTCTATTTTCTTAAAAGTAACAAGCTCAGCCAACAAATCATCGCTCTAAAAACAGAGCTAAAAATATAAATAATTTTTACATAATGTTTCCTCTTGTATTTCACATTCCGATAAAAATAATGTTTCTCTACGACTTACATGCATCTAAATATATATATGTTAAATAAATAACAGCACATAAAACGAGACTTTGTAATTTGAGAAGGAAGAGAGAAATACAGCTGAACTGTAGTTCTCTTCAAGTCGTCTCTGCATGGGTCATAATTTGCCACAAACAAGCAACAGCTTTGGTTTAAGTAAGGAGGTGCACATCAACATGATAACAGTCATTTGTGAAGTGTGCTTACAAAACGAGTTACATTTCGGATTTTAACAGTACGGAAATTGATTCATCAACTTTATAGGTGGAGTTCGTACAATTTGTAAGTATGGAATAATAAAAGTACACAGTAGACTTGACGAAAACGGCATCAATTTTAAAAAACTATCCATCCGACCCCAGTGTCGATTTTCACCTGATACCTCCATTCTTGGATTGCGAGAAGTAACTCGTTTTTTCAGCACGCCTCACATTTAGTACAGGGAAAAAGTAAGACACACAGAAAAAAATACAGCAGTCTCCGCCTAAGATCCCACCGCTTATGGCCCCGTTTCGCCTAAGATCCCGCTTTTTAAAAAAAAACCCAGAATTTCTACTATGTAAAAGTCACCCCTAAGATCCCGCACAGAAGGAGCTACATTCGGCTAAGATCCCACTTTTCAGGTCATAATTTAGTTTATTTATTTAAGAAAAGAATAAGAAACATAAGCGCTCTCAGCTGATCAACCAAATAGTGAAAATGTGCGATCATTGTACGGTCCGTTGCTTCATGGATCATTCACTTCCATGAAAGCGGTCACACCTGTGTTGTAAATGTCGATAAGCAGTTACAATGTTTGCCCCAGATAGGATCGCACTAAGGTGTGAACTCATCGATGCCTTGCTTTCCCCGATCACCTGAGCCATCCGCCTGATCTTACATCACACACTAGGTGTGGAGGGTCTACAAGCAAGCATCAGACTGCATTCCATCAAACTGTGAACTCGAAGACGCTAACGTTTTCCCGACCATCGCTCTCGTCTTTCAGTTTTGCGCTTTAACTTCCTTGACAGACTGGCGCCTATACTCGAGGACAGTTTGATCGCCTTTGAGTAATGGGGTCATCTGTTGGCAGTGAACCTGCCTTTAATCTTTTTAAAATTTGGTCGGTGTGGTCACAACACGATTTATAAAGCATCATAATATTGGCGGGGAACTCCGCTAGAGAGAGAAAACAATACATTTTTGGTGGGGGGCATTGCTTGAAGTCAACTGGTTCCCAATACCAACTGGTTCCCAATCCCACCGGACACAGTACTTTTTTAAAACCCCACCCCCCGCCCCCAAACAAATAAAAAACAAAGGAAAAACTGACTTCTGAAAAGAACTTTTAGTGCCCAGGAGTCACGTCAGTTCATTTTAACGTAAGGGAAGATCATATTCAGATTATGGGCCTGACTATGAGTTGTTGAGGATTCATCCCCCTGGCCATTCGGCTAAGATCCCGGTTCGCCTGAGATCCCGCATTTTCCTTGCTCCCGAGCACCGGGATCTTAGGCGGAGACTACTGTAACAGAAAAACATTTTTTTTTAAAAGAAGCACATATCAGTGGCACCCTCCAATCACCCATGAGGATAATACTGTAACACTGGAAAAGAGTACAAGAAGCAGACCACATCAGATCCCCGCTCTTCAGTTTAATATAAGTTCTACAGCGTGCGCAACTGCATAAGGTCATATTTCTCATTTCTCTCTCCTTCTATTTGGGAGCAGAGAAGTATGTAAGGGGTCACTTAGTGTTTGAGAAAATCAAGACAACAGAGAGAAGAGATATCAAAATAAAAAGACAACGCAGCAAAATGCAAGCATCCCTTAAACAATTCCTCCCCTCCCCACCCACTAGTACTGTTTTAAAATTCTGTCATTACTCTGTGTATTGCAGTATGCCCCAGGACACACAACGAAATCTAACACATTAAAAATGAAATTCCTCATATGGAATGGACAACTAGACTAGGGTCTTAGGAATAAAAGGCAAGACAGTAAAAATGTTCACATGTAGTTGCACAGTGGGTACGCAATAAAATGGCCATATTCAACACAGAACAAGTGTGATCATACAAATACTGAAAAGTACTGTACGAAAAAAAGCATGCAAACCCATCAGGAGATAATCTCACCTACAAACCACAGACAGTAAAATGGAAATGAGTAATATTACGAATGTGAGTGAGCGTGTAAATCTTTCTTTTCTTTTCATCTTGTTCCCCATAAAACAGTCAAAGCCGACTGAGTATATCAGCTATGATTAAACAGTTATACTAATAATGTATTCATCAAAAAATTGTATAAAAGCACAGCTCATGTCATAGACTAAAGTGACATTACAGAAATCAGAATAAGAAAAACGAGAGTATCTATTTCGAAGAGGTAAAAGAAAATGAGAAAATTAAGAACACAAAGAACAATGATAGAAGAAAACAAAAATGAGACAAATAACAATCAGAAACATAATACAGAAATATGGAGAGCAAGAAAGACACAGAGAAAAAGGGAATGACAGATAGAGGGGGGAGCATGAGAAAAAGAATAAGAGACAAAGAGCTGAAGAAATAGAAAGAGGGGAGGCGCGCAGAGATGATTGCAGGGGGTTATGAGATGCCAGAGTAAGAGAGAGCATTTTCATGAACAAATAATGAAGCCCTATCAAATCCGATATAAAATTCAGTACCACTACAGCAGAAACAGGAGGCTGGCTACGCTGTGTCGATACGGATGAGACGGAGCTTAAAGTGGTCTGCCAGTACGCAGGCTGCTTCATTTGAGCCCCCGCAGTAGCGAGACGAGGAAAAGACGGTGAGAAGTTTGCCCTGTTGCTGAACCTGACAGAGAAAGGAAATCACAAAAGAATAATCAGTCTGTAAAGCAACATTTGCCGAATAAATACAGGTGAAAAAAACCCTAAACAATTTCAATACATTTTTTTTGGCGGGGGGAGGAGGGTGGGGTGTACTTGTGTGAATAGGAGAAGTACATCGACAATATAACGGTCATTTAGTGCTTGGAAAAAAACTATGGCTTACAGACAAAAATATTAAACAGAAAATATAGAAGAAAGACAAACCAGTACCACCCTCTAACCATCCTCATGACAAATCAGTTTGAGAATCAAAATTTAGTAGAAAAAAGGCTGATAAAAAGTCAGCAGCTTTTTAAAATGGTAGCGTCAATTGCCACCGAGTGACGCGGTGGCAATTGACAAAAATTGACTTTTCAACGCGCAGATTTTCCAGCCCCGGCAACAATCCGAAGATAGACAGAAGGAATGAGTGAATGACAGAAAGGAGGAAGTTGGCACAAAAGGTTTGCCAGATTTTGATCCATCTGCAGGTAAAAAATGTACTGCCGACCAACACGCAATGAATGCATGGGACTGGGACATAGCGGTATAATGTCCGATTGCAGGAAATGCGCAATTTGGCAGGTTTCTAAGGTTAACTTGTTGCCGAGAGAATTACCGTAAATATCCATACCTTATACAAGATGATACGAAGGCGAGTACGGAATTTCAGCAGTCCTGCACTGTCGCAGTTTTTTTTACGGAGGGAGTAGATAATGATGGAGGGACAAGTACAGAACTGGCAGAAAGTACGGATTTCCGGAAAAATACGGAAGAGTGGAAGCACTGTAAACACCTCAACAAGCCACCGAATCTGTGTGACTCAACTGCCCAGGAGCCATTGGGCTGCAAAACTGGCACTTGGGCGGTTGAATCACTTGGAAATTGGGGACCGGTGAGATGTAGGCGATGGATTTACTGAAGGACTGAAACACTTTGCAGACTCGGGATTTTAACATTAGGAGTAGTAAAGGTTGTACTACATAAAGGAGTCAAAAAGAGATTTTCAAAAATTTTGTCACTTAGGCAGTTGAATCATGTAGCTAGCGATTAGACCTCATCCCAATCTTCACATAGAAAAGGTCCCATGGCAATAGAACAGCAATGTAAGCAAAGACTATATAATTTAGGTGTATGGGTTCCATGCCTTTATCAACTGTATTAGGTTATTTAGGAGGTGGAACCTTCGAATTTAACATCCGTTTCCAATAGGAACGGACCATATCTAAACTTGGGTTAAATTTTGAATCTCAATTCACAATGGTTCAAGAGCAACCACACAGCTTAAAGAGCAAAAATTCAATTTGTAAGCCTTACTCTCTGCAGCAAATAAGCCTGCGAAGATTAATTTAAATCTGCAGACAAACAAGAATTTTTAATCTGCGGATAGACAAATATTTTGATTGTAAGATAACCCCCCCACTCCATCTCTTTTTTGCCTCCTCATCAAATTAACAAAAATAATGCATAAATAGACACAGACCTTGAACCCTGCCTCCTGCACTTCGTGTGCTCTGATGACGTGAGACAAGCCGTTCCGCTCCAAGAAGGCACACAGAGCTTCACAGCTGAAGAAGTGGGCGGTGCCTCGGCGAGAGTTGAAGGTGAACCCGTGGTTGTCCTTCAGCTCCTCAATGGTGGCATCTGTCAGGTTGTCTGAACTGCTGCTTGGGGGTAAAAAAGTTTCATTTTAGTTAAAGAGTTTTACGCTACTTGCAACATTAAAAGGACATAAAAGTGCAGAATAAGGACGATAGATGTTTGATAGGAAAGAAGGAGCAAACTACATCACAGCACCCGCCAACCACCATTGGAAAAAAGTTTGTTTTAAAAAACAAAGAAGCATGTCAATACGATAAGTCGTTTAGCACAGGGAAAAGTCAGATAGACAGTTTGAGTGAGGAGAAGCACATTGACACAATAACTGTTGGATTGAGCATTGAAAAGGACAACACAATTACCTTTATTTAGTGCAGGGGAACATTCCATTTTAAAGAAAGAGAAACATATCCAGAAAAACCATAATTTAGTGCAGGGAAAGGTTTTCATTTCAATTTGAGTAAAAATGTAGAAGGTAAGAGTAGGTACCAGAAACTAAATTTTTAAAGAAGCTGTACGCCAAATTTATCCGTTCCATATAAAAGGCCTACATCTCCGGAGAATTCCGGTACCATTCTTTAACGTCTCAGTCAATTTTCAAGAAAATGGCAGCTGTTTAAAATTTGATCAAATTTGTTAAAGTCACTCACTTGCTGCAACAGATGATAAAAGAGTACCAAGAGCACCAAACATTTCCACATTAACAAGTACAATCACTATAAAATGGATATTTTTTTTGAGACTGTAAGATCATTACAAATCAGCATTTTATCACCTCAAACATGATGATCTGTCGTTATTTCGACAAAAACACCGAACACTGAACTGGCCGGTGCCGCACCAGCCCCCGCGGCCAGCGAGTTGGCTCTATACTGTAGTGTATCGAGTGCTCCCCACGTGGGGGTCACACACTTTCCGAGTTTCGCGGAACGATTGAGGCAAAATAATTCCACACTGATGACTATATTCTAATAGAAAATGAACTGACCTTTCTATTGGTACCTTTTTTTGAGCCGGTATTTTATATATTTTGGGTAAAAAATTATCTTTGAAAACTTTGACAGTATTTTTAAACGCCAAAGGCCAAAAATATACCACGGGAGAGCCCGTCCACAGCTCTACAGTTCTGCGCCAATGAAAAGGCGGTATTTAATCATCAATCTTTCTGCGAAGCATTGGAATGCACGCATGTCAATTTTTAAACAGGCCGATCCCGCATTCCGACCGTGAGGGGCTTCGCTTTCTACGGCGATTCTCCGGCTCCTAATAATTGGACACACAAACAACTTACACCATTGAAACGAGGAAAAGCTGAACTTTTACAAAGTGTACAGCATTTGGTATTTTATAGTGAAAGAGCAAAGAAACAGCCATCTGAATTACCCCGACGTCACCGATACCACATGCTCGCAAGTGCCCACAAGGCCGTTTTTACGCTACCTAGTAAGAGATGAATGGGTAAGACCTAACAGAAGACGGTCAAAAGACAGAAACCTAGCTTGGAATCAAAACAACTTAGGCAGGCAGAATAGCAAGAAGCAGAGTGTTTTATTATAGAAAGGTCAGAGAAGCAATATCAAAGCTAATGAGAAGAAAAAAAAGAAGCACACCTACATGATAACGCTCTTTTGTTTAGTTTTATTAAGAGTTTTACGGCACCTGCCTACAAAATAAGGCACATAAGAGCTGAAGATTAGAGACATTACAAGAGAGTAACAAACACAGAAATGAGGGGAGACAAGAACAATAGATGTTTGATAGGAAAGAAGGAGCAAACCAAACCAGAGCACTCACCAACCACCAAGCGCTTTCTTTATCTAAGTAAAGAGAGAAGCCCAAAGGCACAATAATGGTTATTTAGGGCAGGAAAAGAGTAAAAAAAACAACAACATGTGTCTGGCAAATCAGTAAACATCAAGGCTGAGAACTATATTGGGTTTGTTTTTTAAAGAAAAAACGTACCCATCACAAAGATTAGAGTGACTTTGGTTCTAACATACAAGAGCTTAGCAGATGAAACGCATTTACTTGAGATAAACGAATATTTCGAGACTGGATTAGATACAGAAAATGGGACAGGTATCTTTTTAAAAACAGTTCTTCAAAGCCAGTTCTCTCATCACTGGTCCTGAAGGGGCCACTGCCAGGATATGAGTAACTCTTTAGCAGTCACTTAGGAGTTAACTCATAGCGGTCCATCATCATCATGACATTCCATACAATTCCTCTTTTTCTTGAAGCCTCACAATCTGCACCATGTTGGCACATATATACAAAATCCACAAATATCGGCACTAAAATCAGGACACGGTAGAGATGGGGCGAGCGGACGGACAGGTTCGTTACTCGTGGACTCAGTCAGAGCGAACGGGTAACGGACGGCCATGAGAGCGAACTGCGAACCTCAAGTCAATTCGTTTTTTGGGTCCGCTCCACAATTTGACTCTCTCAGCGAGCGGACTGCGGACCTCAAGCCTCAAGTCAGTTCGTTTTTTGGGTCCGCTCCACAATTTTATTCACTTGGAGGGTAGGCAAACGGACGAACTCCAGCAGACGAGATACTCGGCGCGTGGGGCACACTGTGTACGTTCCAATTATCGCAAAGGCCGGGGGGGGGGTTCCCGCCATGAACGCCTAGCTGCAATGTGAGGCAGGAGGGTGATTTTTTAAATTTAAAAAAAATGTTTTTGGGTGGGAGGGGGGTTGTAAGTTGTATGCAATGGAAGGAGTCGCTCCCGTCCGTCCGTCCGTCTGCTCGAATGCATGGAGTCTCTCCCTCCACCCGTCCGCCCGCTCGCTAAATAGACCTGCATGTGAGCCTCAACCAGATTGTCTGAAAATTTTGCGCAACCCCCCCCCCCAAAAGCCTTTGTGGGTGTCATAAAGAAGAACATCCAAGTAACGAGCGACCACCCCAACAAACACAATAAAGAAGAGACCTAGATCTAACCCTAACCCCAAAAAGAACCTGCAACGGGCCTCATGTAAAAAGGCCAAATCAAGTCCTAAATTTAAAAAAATTAAATTTAAAAAACCACACTCCAAAACAAACAAGGAGCATATAGATCTATATCTAGATCTAGATTCTAGATCTATATATGGCTTACATCTACATTGCTATAGGGTTTGATACAATAACACAATAGAATTGGAATATAATATGAATCCTTCATATAGATCTATATCTAGATCTAGAAATCTAGTAATCTAAATAAATCTAGATCTAGATATTGTAGAACAAGCGAATAGGAATAGGCCTTGAACTAGAAATCCGCATCCGATTCCGAACAGAGGGACTCAGCTGAGTCTAGATCTTTACTAAATAAATAAACAATTCACGCACCTGATGAAATGCTTATTTTTACCAATATAAAGATTACAGCACAACCTATGATAGGGTTTGACACAATAGAATTGGAATATGAATCCTCCATTGAGGTCTATAATGATCTATATAAATCTAGATCTAGATCTAGATCTAGATTCTATTAGAACAAGAGAGTCGGACTTGAATGAATCCACACGATCTGAACAATTGAATTAGTCAACAAACGAAATTCAAAATGGCCGCTCGAGCACGAAACTGAAAGTAGATAATTTAAGTTGTCATCCTTTTTCGTATTCGCATTTCTACTTAGGTTCCGACAATTATGTCGGAAACGCCGACGTCGGCAGTCGGCGGTGCGCGCGTCGGCGGTCGGCACGAAAACGAAAGTGCCGACGAAGCCGACGGGAGAAAAAGGGGGACGCTGGCAGTTGGCCAAGCCTCGCACTACGCACATTGACTGATAGTGATACAGGCGGGCCTAGCGATAGCATCGGCCGGTTCGCGGGTCGGGTCGCGATTGTCGGATTTCAGACGATTGTCAGCAAACATGCAGGTCTAGCTAAATGAACTGTTGTCTCTGTCCGATGTGTAGCGAGTAGCGAACTACTCTTCACAAACGGACAGTTCGTTACCCGTCCACTCGTTTTCGGGTAGTGCCAACGAGTAGTTCGTAAAACCAGATTCCCACATCACCCGGTACTCAATTTTTAAAAAACAGTTTCTAGAACAACCATCGCCAAAGCTGCTATAATGCTTTATTCAGCAGCTCGGCATTTTTTGTTCCATTCTTCATACACATTTTTATTACACATGACTTCTACCAGTTTGGTAATGGCAAATTATTTTGGGCGAAGCCATGTCCGAATACACACTGATCCGATGGACTCACCTCAATGGGTCACTCCACAAAAGCTCCCACGCTAGGGGACTTTCTACTTCTGGGTCGGCTAAGGGGGAGGGGATCTTGTTGATGGCCTCAATGTAGCCACCCTCATTGTCCGGGCCGGGAATACCTCCGTGGACGCAAAAAACCTGGGAGAAATGCAAACATACACAAAAAAAGCTTATAGAAATGCAAAGATGTATCAGAAAACCTGGCAGAAAAAAAGTATATAACAGAAAACCTCGCAGAAATGAAAATATAAGTCGGAAAACCTTGCAGACATGAAAACATGTTCCAGTGAACTTTGCAGAAATAGAAACATGTTAGAAAAGCTGACAGAAAGGCAACATGGGTCAGAAACAGCAGTCAAGAAACTTGGCAGAAATGCAAACTTGAGTAAGAAAAGTAACAGATACCCTCATAATCCCACAAAAGACACCGACCTTGTCATCAACAGTGGCTGCAATCGGCATCACATCGAAGCACTCGTTGACCGCATCCCAGATCTGATTACCAATGCTGTCCCCAAATTTCTCCAAACATTCTCTGTGAATATTTCACATCATTAAGTTTACATAGAATCTGAACAAAGAGAAGCACATTGACACAGTAACCATCATTAAGTACTGGAGAAAAATCAAGACAGACAGACATTTGGTTGCTTTTAAGCACAAGGGGGTTATCCCGAAAAATGCTGTTTTGAGAAAATTGAAGGTAAAGTTTTTGCCCCTTGTTCAGTTTCTTTAAAAGACCAGGAGAGTTTTCTCTATAACCAAACAAATATACACACCAATGAAACAAAACTTCTCCAATAGGTAGGGCAATGCCCACTTTTGGTGTAGGTCCAGATTTCTGGAAACCCCCAATATCTGGGCTAGCCCGCTTGTCCTTAGAAGCGACCATTTGTTCGGTTGAGTAAAGAGAAGCATATCGACACAATATAGTGCTGGAGGAAAGGCAAGACAGACAAGAAGAGACAAGAAAAAGAAAGTAAAGAAGAAGGACCTACCAGTGGCGACATCCGACCAACCATACATAAAATGAATATTCATTTTTTAAATCTCACATGCATTTATCTCCCTTCAAAATACAAGTAAATGGCTTATCTCAGCATTCCCTGTCTATATAAGTAGTAATATGGCAAAATGCGTCGCTCGCTGCACTCAGCAGTATTGCGATACGAGATATCGGGCAAAAACCCCAATTTAATCAAAACTTTCTGTCTCTCCCACTCTTAGTGACAATAACTTTGAAGCCAAAGCAGCAGACTAAAATTGTTTTGTCACTACACATACCATGTCATTGCAATTACATATACAAAGACATTCACTTTTCTTTTTATATGCCTTTATACCCTAATGTGTAGACACAGGTAAAAGACAGTTGCTGGGTTTTAATAAGGAATTCAACTCCAGTAGAAGAACACCCTTGAGATTGACTATCCACATTTTATGCTGCATTGACACAATTTAAATAAAATAAGAGGCAGGTAGCGTCAGCCGGGCCAACCCACATTTCAAGAGATACTGTTGTCCAAAAAACAGAAGCCACATTAAAAACTGTGTCTTGCAAACACTACTTGGCCCGGCCCCTAAGTGATTCAAATCACATGTCAATGGGAGCATAATACATTTTAATTTAATCAATCAACTTTCTATTAATTGTCTCCTAAATGATCTAAGTTGAGTTAATGAGGGCTTAAAACATTCATTTATCAATCAACTTTGTACTTACGATTTAAAGTGGAACATTTCTTGAACACTTCGAAGTTCGTGGTTCCCTCGCAGCAGAAAAAATTTATTTGGCGCTAAAAGCTTCTGAGCAAACAGGTAAGATATGACCTGAAAACACAAATGTGAGAAGGACTTTGTTTTGACTTCAGTTTTGTTTCCGTAAAGAGAAGCACACCAACAACAGTTTGTTACTGCTGGGAAACAGCAAGACAGACAGACAAAATCAATGGAGGAAAAGTAAAGAAGGACACCAGTCACTGTGATGCCATTTACCCACCCATACAAATGAAAAAAACCAAAAACAACTTCAACAACAAATGAAAGTTAGAGAAACGGTGATATTATTTTGTGCAGCATTACATGAGTAAGGCAAAGTTGTTTTAGTAGAGATTTTACGGCGCTCGCAACTGCATAAGGTCATATGAGCACCAGAAGATTAGAGGTGTTACAAGAGAGTAACAAACATAAAAAAGAAGGAGGGAAGATAAGGACGATAGATGTTTGATAGGAAAGAAGAAGCAAACAACTCCAGAGCACCCGCCAACCACCCACTGAGTAAGGCAAAGTTGAGGTTCACAGCAAGGAAATTTAGTTTGTTTAATCAAGATAATAAATGATAAACAGCAATTGTATGCAAGCTCTATGCACTTTACAATCTACATTATTACACCAGCAGACCCAAGAACACCCAGAAACATTCTTGGCTTCAACAGAAGCATAAAGTGCAAGCAGCCAACTAAGAGCTCAAACCTTAACAAACTTAAATAAATCATTCATTGGCTATAGTAGGGTGCCCATTCCCACCTGAGTAAAGTGAAGACAATTAGTGTAAAGTGCCTTTCCCAGGGACACAATGATGGGCCCCTGACAGGATTCAAACCCACAACCTTACGTTTGAGACTAGAGCCTAACCACAGAACCATTGATGCCACACAAAATCAAATGCATTCTGAACACAAAGGTACCTCCACACCGTAGTCCCCTCGGTCCACGTAGTCGCCCAGGAAGAGGAAGGAAGCAGGAGTCAGCAGGGGTCCCATTCGCCACAAGGCCTTCTCAAAAGACACAAGGTCACAGTAGTTGCCGTGAATATCCCCTGAAATAGAATTTTGTTTCAACTAAGGTGCAGCTTAAAAAAAAAAAAAAAGCACACAGGAGATATCGGTTCATGGAGTACCTAGCAGGTACTCATACTAAGTCCATATGTAAATTTTGTGGATAGTTGCAATACTATGAAATTCCATATAAGACGTAGCCAAGACCTTAATAAATAGACAAAAGCAGAGCGGACATTGTTTACCAATGAGGAAATGTTTTTGTAAGTTTCGTGACTTAGACAAGGGGGATTATACATTATTTTTACCATGAATTCAACAGACTAGTACACAGGGGCTCTCGTGGTGTGGAAGTTACGGTGTTCACCTCTCAATCAAAAGGTTCTGGGTTCGAAACCTGACAGCAACAGAAAATTGTCTTCTCTAAAATTTCCTCCTTTCACCTCCTTTCTTGCTGTCTAACCATGTTCTGTCATCTGCTTTCATCTCCACTTTCTGCGCCTCCCCCACTCCCCTTTGCCCGCTCCTCAGGGCTCTCGACTCTTTCTGCAGCTTTTCTACTACTACTTCTTGGCTCCTTCTTACTGCTGTCTTTCAGCCACACCCCTGATCTCATGGTAGGTATGACATAACACGTAGCCTTCTCGGATAAGGGCAAAAAATCTTACGAGGTCTCGTGTGCAAGTGGCATACATTTAAAGAACCCTTAGCGGTCCTAAAATCGATATGAGTAGGCTTCAGCTGCCATCCAGGCAAAATTTAAAATTTCTTACCACCTGAAAATGTTTAATGTGTCCCACCCGCTCATATGATCTTATCCAGTTGTGAGCACCATAAAACACTTACCAAAACAACAATAGGCTAGTACACTTACCCAGAATGTAGGTCGGCGACCTCAGTTTCAGCAGACGTGGTTCTGTGGCCAGATGTTCCTTGACTTGACGACAAACAATCAGTAGACACTTGGCTAAGGCATTGCGGTCCACCTCGCCCCAGTCAAAGGCAGGCTGCAATCAAGTATTGTCACTGAAATTTTTGTACGTGTTTTATGCCCTGATTGACACAATTTGGATCATTTTAGAGGCAAACCACTACAACCCTGCCTCACAGGAAGTCGGAGGGTGCTCTGGTGTGGTTTGCTCCTTTCTTCCTGTCAAGCATCTATAATCCTGATCTATCCTCCTTCTTTTTTTTTGTGTCTCTTATTCCCTTGTAACACCTCTAATCTTCGGCACTTATATGACCTTATTGTGGTGCAGGTGCTGCGCTACTCTTACTAAAACTATAAACTAAACACAACCCTGCCTTATAGGGCCAACACGGGCTAACTGTAGACAAATAGAAACATTTGTTAAAAAACACTTCATCTCAGTCAAAGACAGGATGACATAGTAATTAACATGATTTCGATCATTGAGGAGGCAGGCTGCTTTAAAACTTTCTATCAAGGCTGAGAGGGGGAATAGCCTACAGTATCCCAGTACACATGGAGACACTCCTTGAAAAATGTATCAATGTCAAAGAGAAATTGGAAAATTATAATTGTAATTGTATGAGTTTTACACCTAAATCAACACAATCTAGACCATGAACAAGGCAGGTGACGTTAAACCTGACAATGTGTTTCTCTTCACTGCAACTAGATTTTAAAAATAGTCTTTGTGTAGCCATTTCTCTCCTTTACGTCAGACTTTATGGAAAATATGTTACCCTCCCATTGACAAAATTTAGATCATAGAGGAGGCAGGCTACTTCTCCCCCCCCCCCCCCCCCCCACATACAACGTCCTAGGGGACAGGCGAAGATTCATTTTACGAGTCCAAAAAAAACAAAACAAAACCCTTCCCACTTGGGAATCAAGCTCACGTCTTCAGCATGTGATGGCAAAGCACCTATTCACGGCACCACAGACTCTGGTGACCAAGTTCATGAAACTTTTTTAAAAATAAAAATTTCAAGACACAAACTGTATAACTCACCTTCGGGTTGGCTCCATTATCTCCCTTTGTGGGCCTCTCAAAGTAGCGCAGTCCTGTCAACATCTCATTAGGATGGGATCTCTGGAGAAGGGACATTAATAATAATAATGATAAATAAATAGTATTTGTATAGCGCACCCCCCACTCAACAGCAAGCTCTATGCACTTAACACCATATCATTACCCCAGAAGACCATAGAACACTCAGAAACATTCTCAGCTTCCCAGGAAGCATACAGTGAAAGCAGCTGATTAAGCGCTCAAACACTAAAAAACAGATAAAATCTTTCGCTGTGTACAGCTGGGTACCCATTCTGACCTGGGGAAGTGAGGAAAATTTGTGTAAAGTGCCTTTTTTAAGGACACAACGTCGGCCTCTGATGGAATTTGAACCCACGACCTTACGGATGCGAGTCCAAGAGCCTCACCACTAGGCCACCAACATTCACACAATAATTACATTATCCCTCTATCGTGAAGGAGTGGGATGAGGTAATACATTAGATTCACTAATTTCCTATAGAAAGATATTCAAAGCCAACTCTAAAATAAAAAGAGAGAGATAATGTGCCAGAGAGAGAGAGAGAGAGAGAGAGAGAGAGAGAGAGAGAGAGAGAGAGAGAGCAGAGTGTGTGTCTGTGTGTGTGAGTGAGAGAGAGAGAGAGAAAAAGAGAGAGTGAGAGAAAGAGAGAGAAAAAAAGAGAGTGAGAGAGAAAGAGTGAGAAAATAAGAAAGAGAGAGTGTGTGTGTGTGTGTGTGTGTGTGTGTGTGTGTGATGAGTGTGTGATGTGTGTATATGAGTGTCTGTGTGTGCCCAGTGCACGTGCGTGTGCATGCTATTTTACATGTCTGTATGTCTGTGTTTATGTGAGGTATTGCCGAGTGCAGCGAATACAAATTTTTTTATGACATGGTAGGGTGCCACAGAGTTACACATTTTGTCACTTAAGTCACTCAAGTTTCAGATACAACGTCAATGTCTTTCAGAAGAGGATTAACATCAAAGCAAATTTTCACTCCACCTGATTGAAGGCATCAATGGACGACAGTCTCTGGAATCTGGACACATCTCCATCCAGGTGATTGTTGGCACTGCCGCTGACTGCTGCTGTCCCTGCACACATAGCAACGACGATAATATTTTAACAATAATCATCATCATCATCATCATAAATAGCATTTGTAAAGCACAAATCCCCACTCAACAGCACGCTCTAGGCACTTTACAATTATATACAACCTATAGTATTACCTCCAGCAGACCTACTAGCGTTCTGGAACAATCTCAACTTCCTGGGAAACATACACTGAAAGCTGCCATCTTTTATAAAACACTAACACAATACCCCTAAAATGTGCATTGTCCTTGTGATAAGACAGGCTAACCTACATAATGTGATAATATCATTTTCTTAAATTTGATGAACTGATAGTAAATTATAATTATCCATTTCATATGCTCAGTCAAAGACAGGTCTGAATTTTAACTAGAAATACGCCTAAAACATTAGAAATGAAGCCGGCTGCAAGGTTGCTGCGTGATGAAACCAAATAAGTTTTTCGATTCTTCCTAAAAATCTATTCAGCAAGGGTTATCCAGTCTTGTAAGAAAAGGTAACATTTTATTGTCTCAGTGGGACATTATTCTGTCGAAAGGCAACAATAAGTTCACTCAACTCATGGAAAAAGTGTATTTTGTTCAGTCAACAACACTTGTTGATGCCCTGTTATAGTTTTAGTTAAGAGTTTTATGCAGGGTGGCCGACAACCCGCTTCTTAATTTTCTGGGGGGGGGGGTAGGTACATTATATCCAGTCAACAGCATGTCAGCGCAGCACTGGGATACTGTGTGACTTACGTATTTCAGTCTGTTCTTATTTATATTTTCGCCTCATCATATTCGCCAATATAAACTACCGTATTATATAAAAATTAATTATGTTTTGAGCCTGAAAACCAGAATATCGACTGTCAAGAACCAGCATGGGTGTCAAGATTTATATAATAAAAGTGAAAAACAAAAATTATAGTTCAAACTAGAAAAAGAGTAATAACTTGAAGTGCTCAAGTAGACCTATTCAGTGTGAGAAGTGCAAAAACTGTGGGAGGGCAAGATGCAGTGACACTGACAATCTTCAAATCTTGAACAGAAAACTAAAATATAGATGTACAATACAGGTAATTTACTATCACAAGAGAAAGAGAGAGAACGAGAGACTGAAAGAAAAAGAGAGAGAGAGAGAGAGAGAAGAAAAAAGTATGCACTTGATGAGGTCACTCCTCTTTTTTTTTTTAAAACCAAAGACAATGAACCAACATACTATCACCCATCCAATGAAACGCGAATCTTTTGGTTAAAAACCACGGCTTAAAAGGTATTAGTATGACGGATCCCGATTCCACACAAGGCCGGCACCAATGAGTGCTTTGCAGAAAGCTCTGGTAATAATTAAAATTCTAAATACTAAAATTTGCTTCAAAGTTCAGTTTTTGTCATCCTGTGTTGCCTTCAACCCCACCCCTCCTCTGACTGTATCTTTTTAAAAAACCAATAATACCCCCTTTCCGAAGCCCCATACTTCGTTGCACTCAGACTTTAAATGAACTTTGGGGACCCCAACGATCATCGGAACTCACAATGTGATGTGAACGCACAGGTTCACTGACTGGTCATGATGGCGAGCCCGACAAGACGCTTGAATGACTTTCTTTTTTTTTCCGCAAGTGACAGCACAGGACAAATATTGATTTATTTTCATAGCGACACAACGTTTGTAATGCACAACCTGCGTGTTACAAATGTTGCGTTAATCAGACTGCTACCAGCAAAATTTTGGGTGGTAACGAAAGCGAAAGCAGATCGAGCTTCCGTATCACATATACACTTTCGCTTGCGCCACAGGCGCCTGTCCGCGTGAACCGTACACTCAGACCGGGAAAAGCCGAATAAATATCACAATCGCGACCGGCAAAAATGAACCCAAGGACGTTATCCGATTTGGTTTTCAAATGTTTGAGAACTTTTATGTTATTTTCCAGGGTCTTTCGTGGGGCAATTTACAGATTTCCTCAAATTCCCAGGGTATTCCCAGGGCCTGGCAGTCACCCCGTTTACGGCACTTGCAACACAATAAGGTCATTTAAGTGCCGAAGATTAGAGGTGTTACAAGAGAATTACAAACAAAAAAAGAATGAGAGATAAGGACGATAGACTTTTTTAATAGGGAAAGAAGGAGCAAACCACACCTGAACATCCGCCACCCAACCACTATGTGCTGTTGTTTTTTTGGTGGGTTTTTTTTTTGTTCTTTGTTGTTTTGTTTTGTGTGTGGGGGGGGGGGGGGGGGGGGGGGGACTTAACAAAAAAGAAGTAAAACTTCGATATTCAGTTCAAACAGATTTTTTAAATCTGAAATTTTAAAAATGCAGGCAACAATATGTAACAATGAAAACTGGAAAATTTGAGGGATTTTTAAATTTGTTTATGATGGCTTGAAATGTGCTGCAACATTGCCTGTCATCTGTTACTGATCCGACATACGGGTCTGCTATATCCTTAAACAGCTTATGAAGAGGGAGGGGGAATTCCCTATCCATGCAAGCATAAAACAAAACGTGTTCAGAAACGGAGAAAATTAAGATTCAGGTATCGCCAACCCACTTGCAAATTAATTGCTTGCTTTCTACCTATGGCCCATTTTTTTTTTTGGGTGGAAAACACTGTAGTTTAATGTGAAGCCCACATCATACACATCATGGGTCTCAACTAAGAATTCTAAAAAAGTAGGAACTTTCCGGGTGATCGCCACAGAAGCCCATTTTCGCGAAACACGCATTATTATTATACTGTTGAACCCTAGAATGCTGAAATAAAAACCATCAATTTATCAAAGCAAGGTTATTTCACACCAATCTGAGGGCTTAGGAGATAATTTCAAGTAAGAGTCAAGTATCAAATATTTACAATCTTGATTACGTACAGAAAGTGGTGGCGCCTGGGGTCTTGTGCGACTTATTCACATTTTCCCTTCATCATATTTGCCTGTATATATAAACTATATAAAAATGAATCTTGTTTTGAGCCTAGAATCAGAATAACGACTGTCATGATTTATATCATATATATATATAGGCCTATATAATAAACGTGAAAGACAAAAATTAATGCTCAAACTCAAAGGCGAGAGGAATAGCCCAAGTAGATCTATTCAGTGTGAGAGGTGTAAGAACTGTGGGAGGGCAAGATGCAGTGATACTGAAAATCTGCGAATCTTGAGCAGAAAGCTAAAATATAGAGATCTAATTTACTGTCACCAATCCAATGAAACGAAAACACTTAGGCCCCTAAGTTCCATAACAAGCTTACAAGTTATGAAGGTTCCCGATTTCACACAAGGCCTGCACCAACGCACAATTTACTTTGCAGAGAGCTGAATTAGTAATCAAAATTCTATACATAACACACATAGATCTATTTCCAGTTTCAGTTTTTTTGTCCTCTGGTATTGCATCCAGCCCTCCCCCTATCCCTGAGTGCATCTTTTTTAAAAATCAATAATCTCCCCCCATTCCGGAGTCCTGTACTTCGCAGCGCCCAGAACACCCACAGGTTTATTGACCGGTCACAATGGCGAGCCCGAGAAGACGCTTGTATAACTTTCTTTCTTTTCTTTTTTTATTTTTCCCCCCACAAGTGACAGCACAGTGACAAATATTGATTTATTTTCATGGCGACACAATGTTTGTACTGCCGAACCTGCATGTTACAATAAATGTTGCGTTATCAGACTATTGCAGACAAATTTCTGGGTGGTAACGAAAGCGAAAGTAGATCTTGATTTTCCAGTCAAGCATTGGTGACACAATTCCGCTTGCTGCCAAAGCCGCCAGCTCGCATGAAACGTACTCTCAGAGCCGAATCAATATCACATTCACGACCGCCAGAAATGAACTTAAAGACGTTATTGGAATTGGTTTTCAGATATTCCAGATCTTTTATGTATTTTCCCGGGGCTCTGCGATTTTTTTTTAAATTCCCGGGGCCTGGCAGTCACCCTGCTCCCAACAACTCTCTTTCTGATTGGCCCGCTGTCACGGTTGCGGAGTATAGAGGACGAAACGGCGGTAGCGGAAATCCGCTAAATAGCAGACTATTGAGACCCATGCACATACAACTTGAAAACACACACACAAACACACATATAATGTCACTCGCACACACAAAAAACACATTTACACACATACGATCACACACACATGCGCTCACCCACAGTCACTCTTCCCACCTTGAAGGTCCCACAGAGCCATGACCTCCGCAAGAGTCCCTGTACGTTTGACCCGCACGGTGTGAGTCGCCAGGTCGTATTTTGCCATTTTCACTGAGGTGGATGACGGGGCTCGCCCTTCTGGCTGCTTGAAGATTGAATCTGGCAAAGATGTATAGTATAGCTTTAATAAGAGTATTATGGCACTTGCAATACAATTAGGTCATATAGGTGTCAAAGATTAAACAAAAGTTTTAGTAAAGTTTTACGGCGCTCGCAACTGTGTAAGGTTTATTTTTTTAGTATGAGTTTTACTGCACTTGCAACACAATAGGGTCATATAAGTGCCAAAGATTAGAGTTGTTTGTAGAGGTTTTATTTTACGGCGCTCGCAACTGCATAAGGTCATATGAGCACCAGAAGATAAGAGGTGTTACAAGAGAGTAACAAACATAAAAAAGAAGAAGGGGAGATCAGGACGATAGATGTTTGATAGGATCGAAAGAAGGAGCAAACCACACCAGAGCACCCGCCAACCGCCCGATTAGAGTATTTACAAGAGAGTAACAAACACAAAAAAGAAGGATGGGAGATAAAGATGATAGATATTTGATAGGAAAGAAGAAACCAACCACACCAGAGCATCCACCAAGCCCCCACATTGTATAAGGTCATTTGAGAGCCAAGGGGTGGATGTCAACAAAGAAGTCCTTACAGGGAATCAGGCTTACTCTGCTCACCTCTCTAGCTTCAACAACACAAAGTCTGCTTCGACTATCACTGTACCCAAGAAATAGCAGTTCACAAGGAAGTGACAAACATACAAAAGAAGTAGAGGGAAAACGACGATAGTAAGGATTAGGAAAGAAAAAGCAGTTTCCTGTTGCAGTTCAGGCATAGTTATGAGCATGACATTGATGAATCAGCCCATTTACAATTCTACTGTGCATAAGAACAAGCTGATGTCCCCCCTTTGGGAATGGCCTGAAGACACTTCAGTCGGTAGCACCGGTAACATACACAATTTAAAGGAGAGATGGGAATATAGATGTTTGATAGGAAAGAAGGAGATAATCACACCAGAGTACCCACCAACCATCCGCAGACATCTAATATTTGTTAGTTGGAGTTAAGAAAAGCACATTAACACAATAACTGTCTTTAAAGTGCAGGAAAAGAAAAACGGACAGAGAGAAACAATAGAGGGACCAGTCACTTGCTGACAAAGACCAGGAAAAGACACTTAAGTTCTGATTTACTACTCATACCTAAAACTTTACAACCGTAACTCTCACATAAACTAAGAAGCCCCAGTTTAAAACTCAGAAAAAAGAGAGACAACACTACTGAAGAGAGTTAGAAAGGAAGAAAGAGAGAGGTAGAGGATGTGGGAAAAAGAAAGAAAAAAGAGAGCAAGTGATAGGGACAGAGAATATGAACGAGAGAGAAAGAAAAGAATGGAGAACAGATGGAATGATAGCGAAAGAGTAAAAATCTCAACCAAATAAAAAAGCAATGGACAAATCACCATAGCAAAAAGTGAAATAACTGTAGTGTCTGACCTAATTTATCAGTTTGCTTCTCTTTCGGCTTCTTCGAGTCCATCAGTTTTGGCCGTGACCTTTTTGTGGGAGGTTCCTCTCGATTGTCGCTATCGCTGTCACTGTAGGGGCTTCCTTCCCGTGCTCTACAGAGGGACAAATTGGAAACACCCTGGTCTCTACAATGTTAGCAGGGTGAAGAGGAGAACATGAACATCGATCGAGTCACAAAAAAAAATTTGCGAAAACGACTCGTGCAGTGCTCATGCCTCATGCTTCACGGTGAACAAGAAAAAAAAATGTGCGTGCAACCTACTGCACGAGGATAAAAACCAGAGCACTTCCTTGTCTGAGTCGGACTTGCATTCTTATGGTTATAGTATAGGTTCAAAGCTTGATCAACTGAGATGGTTTATCCTTGTGCAAAAACAAAATTTTAGAAACCAAATCCTAGCCTCCTGAGCTTCCGGATTCAGATAGAGAGTGCTTCATCATGAAAAACTCAGTAAATCAGCACAGAAGATGATCAAAACACGTGTGAAAGGGCACAAATACGTTTAGAATGTCGACATAAACAAGTGTTTTGATTGATTGAAAATTACTGCCTTTTTCTGCCTGATGATTCAGCGCTCTTTCGTCAAACAGGTGTAGCAGTGCTGAAGATTTTTGTTGCAGAAGCGTGCCACTGGTGTGCAGGTGCTTCAAGCTCAAAGGTGAACATTGAATATCAACTCAATTGGTTAAGGGACTGCATTGAACATCCCACCACTATCCATGATGAACTTAAGGCATAATGAAAGTACTTAACTAGGAGTGTGTGAGCAGGTCAGGGCTGCCCACCCACTAGCATACGATTTAGTAATCAACGTATAGAAAATTAGTAATCTTGCTTTAATAATCGTAATATGTCCATGGATACTCTTCTTCTCTAAGGTGTCAAAGACAGAGGTTGTAGTCGAGCATAAATGTAACATGAACAAACGTGTGATGAAAAAAGAGCTCTTGCTGGACTCGTCATTGTTGAGGGGGGGGGGGGTTTTTTGGGGGGGGGGGGGCGCGAATAATTGCTGCTAGCAAAAACAACAGAAACTTTTAGAGCTACAGAATACGCCACAAGCCTTCGATCCTGGTTGTGCATCACAACACACCACACCACACACCCACCGTAGGTAACTGTTTCAAGTTTTAATACAATATATCCATTAACAAAAAAAAAATAATTTAAAAATTCCGTCATTGGCCTAGGCTACCACCCACAGCATAAAAGTGCAAGAATTCTGTAACACCTTGTCAGCCTAATGTTTGCCTTGCTCCTGACTTTGGCACTTCTAAAGTCTCAGGTTTTTCTAAGGGCAAAGTAGCACTGAGCTCATAGCACTCAATATAAAGAGGGTGTTTAAGTTAGACAGCTATGCGTGACGAAGTGATGTAGATTATCCGGGTCTGATAGTTTTCTAACTTATACACCGGAAAGGTTGGCAGTGGGTTGAGCTTGGAAAAATTTAAACATAATCAGAATTAGGGGAATTACAATCGTATTTTCGTAAAATTGAATAAAAGTCGTAACGATTCCGCCAAATTCCTAATGATGGGCAGCTCTGGCAGGTGCTGATGTGTCTTGCTTTCATTGCTGTCTTCATGAGTATAAAATTAATGTATGGCTCAGCAATCATATAATCGCAGAAAGCTTATATTTATATGGGATAAACTGCTATATAAATGCAATCTATTATTATTATTGCTACAGTCGTTGAATTCATTGCCTAAACTAATTCATACACTGTGACAGATACAAACGATCTAAGCAAAAACTCTTAACATCCACACAGCTATTGTGATTATAAATTCTGATGTCACAGACATGCTTCACCCTCTAGAAAACATCCACAGGTCAATATCAGATCCAGATCGTTTGATAGTTTTTGAGCAGTTGACAAGAAATAACAGCAACAAAAATTCTTCAAATTCACTACAGACACACAGATCTCAATACTCACAATCTTAAGTTGGTCATACAAGTCTGATGCAAACGAAACAAGATCGATGTTCCACGAAACTTCAACGACCCCACGGCCGTCAAGAAGTCGCTGCTCGGCAATTTGTCCTTTGTTTCTTCTCCAAACAATCTGGAAGAAAATGAAAGCAGGAAATCTTTTTTAAAGGCAAAACTGTAATATTAGTCCATTATTTTCGCGCACTACAGTGATCACAGTCAACTGTTTACTGTATCAGTAAGACAGCAGCAACCCAACTGTGACCCCGTTTGTTGCGCAGGGCAAAGGGGTGAGGTTCCAACTTGAATGTAAATATTTTTTAAAATTAATTTTTCTTTCTCTCATTATTTTCTTTAAACTCTTAAGTTTTTTCTCTCTTTCTGATAAATAATTTCACCGAAGCTCTATAATTACAAAACACAATTTCTAAAAATTCTTTTTTCAGAATCAATAACTTGTTTATGACTAGCTACATTGTCTAAAACTCTTTTATTTATACAGTTTTCAGTCTTCATTCCTGATCTGACCGTTTATTTCACAATATGCTGAACAATTACAGTACTAAAATAACCCACTTTTACCGTGGTTCCACAATTTAAAATCCTTAATTCTCATAAGAAGCATTTTCAGTAAGTTCCAAATTTTTATGGTATTTACTTTCAGTCCAATGATTTGCCATGTACTTATCTGTGTCTATTCATTGCTCGTAGTTCGAGAAAAGAGAAACATACTGATACAATAAACAACCATTTAATGCCGTAAAAAATTTAGAAAGACAGAAGCAAAAGAGTTTGAGTTAGAACAAAAAAGTAGGACCTAGCAGTGGGGCCCTCTGAGCAAGAGCTCCATCTCTGTTTTGATTCCTTTTCAACAAAATTCTGTTATGGTTCTAAATGAACATGACCATATTAACAAGTAGACATGACTTAGGAAATGATGTATACTCACTTGGCACTATTAATAGCGTCTTCAACAAGCGACGCATCATCATTTGGTAAGCCTTTGTGATCCCTGATGTCCTTCACCAAAGCTCTGGGGAATCCATCACAAAGCATAAAGGGTTTTTTTTAATTACAGACACCGGCCTTAGAACAATCAAAATGAAATTCACATCACTCAAAATTAAATGTTCTCCCATTACACTTCCATTTTGAATTTCTCCAAACTTCATCAAATACAACAATTCCATTTTAAAAAACTATTAAAATATTTTCTTCTTAACCTTTAAGTTACAATAATTCTACAAACTTATTGTGCAAAAAAAGATTTTTTTTTTAAATTAAAGTTTTCATGCACTTGAATTCTTCAAACCTGTACCTCCAACTTGAACCCGACCTGCAAAGCTTGAAATAAAACAAAATGAAAATGCTTTAAACAGCTTCACTCTCTTTAATTTCCAAACTTGTAACAAATATGGAAATGCTAGAAATAAAAAAGACAAAAAACATTTTTTTAAAGCCTCCCGCTCCATAATTCTTCAAACATGCACCAAGACCTAGTGTTGCAATCCAAGAAATAAAACAAGACAAAAGTGCTTTTCACAGCTTCACAAACTATAGTTTCTAAAACATATATAGTAATTGTGGAAATGTTGGTAATAAAAATAAATGTCCTCGAGTTCCTCAAACCTATGCCACCTGTCCCCCAAACTTGTACCAAATTATACAATATTTACAATAAAACAAAATGAAAAATACTTTTTAACAAATCATTAAAACTCTTCAAACTTGTGCGAAACGATTATTCAGTGCTAAAGATACAAACCCCTGTCTGTTGTGTAGCAGTTATGCTCTTCGCTGCCAGATGCAGGAGACCTGAGTTCAATTCCCAAGTGGGAAGAATTTTCATCGAGCATTTCAGTCTCACTGCTGGGATATTGTATCCCTCTCAGCCTGGGTTGGTTCTGACAGGCAGGGTCAGAAGCCCGCCGCCTAATTGATCATAATTGTGTCAGCGGGGGTGTTTTTAAAAAAACAGATTTTTTAAAAACCTATTTAAGATTAAACAAAAGCTTCACTCACTTGAACTCTTCAAACTGCAAGAATCCGTCCCCATTGACGTCGTAGTAGCGGAACATGTAGCGACACCTCATCTCCGCCGGGAGTCCACCATGTTGGGTGCAGGGTTCAAGTGCCGCTAGACCCAGTAGGACATCTTTGTATGACAGGATGTGTTTCTTGTGAGGGTCAAATGCTCTGATAAAAAAGGATAGCAATGTCAAGACACGAAAGTCTTACTTACCCTAAGTTCAAGAGAGGTGCATCCAGGCAATACTGGTATTTTTTTTTCCTTTTTTTTTTTTTGAGTTAAGAGAAGCACATCCACTCAACAGTAACATGCTTCTAAAAGACAGGATGTGCTGAGTCAAACACTCTGGTCAAAAGAGGACACCAATGTCATGATGTGAAATTCTTATTCAAGTTCAAAACATCCTGCAATAGTAGTCATTCATAAAACACATCATGTATATAACATATGTATAAAACAGATTCATTAAATATATTCTTTTAACACATTCACAAAATGCATTCATAAACACATTCATAAAACGCATTCATACAAACACATTTATAAATAATACAAGCAAGGGTGCGGTGGCGGAGCGGTCAGTACGCTCGTCACCGAAGGGGAAAGTCCTACCCACCCAGCAGTAATGGGTACCTGACTCCGAATTGGGGAAGTAAAGGCGGCATGGAAAGAAACTGGCCAACCTACCACAATATGCTGAAGGCCCAGGAAGTTGTCTCACTAACAAGGCAATCCCCACTGTCCGGAGCAGATGCTGGAACAACTTCATTCATACAAACACATTCATAAAAACAAACCTGAAGAGGGCAGGAATGGTCTCTCGACGAGCGCCCTTCAGCTCTGTCATGTAAGACGTGAATGTGGTCAAGTTCATGTTCTGGCTGGGCTGACATTGTTCGATATACTCTTGAAAAAGTAAGTCTTGTTCTGAAACAGATCAAAGGTTTCACATTCAATAGTTCTGAAACAGTAACATCAAGGCCACACATTCAATTGCTCTGAAACAGATTTGTTTGTTTCAATTAGAGAAAACAAAATAAGAGCAATTCTATTCAGTGCATGGTAAAAGTAAGACTGACAGACAGAAACAACAGACAGAGGGAAAGAAAAGCAGCAGACCAGACGCCCCTTTCAACCATTATTATCGTCTTCTCCTTCAGATTTTTACTTAAGTGAACTTTTTCCTACTTCGTAGGGCCGCTTGTCTTCAAGCAGCCACATTTTAATTTTGAAAGTACTCTAAAGCCTACTCTTATTGATATTAGGACCACCAGGGGATCTTTAACATGGGTAACTTGCCCATGGGTCCATTTTGCAGTATCCGAGAAAGCTATCAGACCAATCTTCTCTTTATATCCCCAAGACCAGGGGTGTGGCTGATAAACAGCAGTAAGGAGCCAAGAGTAGCAGAAGAAAGAGTCAGGAGTAAAGGAGAGAGGGGCCCATATGAGACCTGGATGGGGAAGGGGGGAAAGATAGGAGGAGAAAGTGGAGACAAAAGCAGATGGCAGAACAGGGCTAGTAAAAGTAGATTTTAGAGAAGAAAATTGATATGGTCACAGTCAGGTTTCGAACCCAGGACCTCTTGAATGAGAGGCAAACAACATATCTCTACACCGCCAGAGCCCCCCTCATTGTTACAAACAATACAACAAAACAAACCAAGAACCCAGAAACGTCTCACACTTTCTCATTTTCACGAACTTCCAAACAAAACTCCACCCTCAAAAACTATAACTTACTTACCATGCATCCCTAACTTGGCATACCTCACCCCCCCCCCCCCCCCCAACCTGAAATTTCTCACTTTCTACAAACCAAATAATACCTTGACTAGAGCACATCGATTTCCATGAATAAACCCCCCCCCCCCCCCCACCCCCAACTCCTATAAATGCCTCAATCTTATGAACTTTCAAATAAAAAGATAACATAAATATTACAACCCTGGCCATACCTTTCTTTCCTAATTTGGCTGATTTGACCAGAGCCTCATGAGCGGTCATCTGAGGGTTCTCTGAGCTAATGTCGTACGGTTCTGCACTCAGTTCACCCATTGTGGTCACAGGCACCGCAGAGCTACCTGTGGTAGACAGGTTTGAAACAGAGACATTGGTTGAGCAATCATAATGATACAACAACGATAATAGTAACAATAATAATCATCATCATCATCATATTTATATAACGCATATCAATGCTCTTCAGCATGCTCTATGCAATTTGTATCTATTATTACCCCCAGTTGACCCTTGAACATGACTCAGAAATACTCTTGACTTTCCAGGAAGCATCCAATGCAAGAAGCTTATTAAGCACCCAAACGCAAACAAACTGACATAGAGTACACCAGTTTGAGTAAAGAGGAGCATATAGACACGTTAACTGTCATTTAGTGCAGGGAAAAAACAAGACAGACAGATGGTAACATCAGAGGGAACAAAAAGAAATGAACCTGCCAGTGACAATGTCTAACCACTCGTTCAAGCCAAGCCATAAAAGGGAAAGGCAAGGTAATTCATAAAATATGAGCCACGATATGACTGTTAACGTAAAACAAAAAATATGCATTGTATGCAAGTGTTATAGCATACAGAATAAATTATCTAAGGTCTGACTGTTAACCCTTTTGTTGCCTTTTGACATACCTAGTATGTCACGAAAATGTGTCAATTTTAGCTTTGAGCCATACCACTGGCATCACAGAAGTTGGCAAAATTTGCCGCTCCAGGCAGTTTATACTATTACAGGACATCACATGTTTGACACGCTAATCATCTGGCTCTAATTCTTCTGAACAGAGATTTATCCAAATGCACTGCATAGATTCCTTCACATTCAGGAATAAAAAAGGCACATATCAGTACCAATTTGCTAGTGTTAATTCATAGCTAGGTTTACAAGCGATCGATAAACACAGGTCTAGTCTTGCCGACAAACATGTGCTCTCGCAAAACGTATACATCAACATAACGTATAAAAGGCAGCAAATTTTACCTTTTACTTTAATCTGCAAGTTTTTCAAATTTGATTAAGATGAGGAATATAGGGAAAGAGGAAAATGAGAAAAATGACAATATCGAAGACTCTGGGTCCGAAAATTGTCATTAGTGGGCTAGATCTAGGCTATAAGTTCACTGAGACATAAGACTGCTATCCTTGCTAATGAGCTTAGCTGAAAATCAGCGTTAACAGTAGGAATGCACAATTCCTGGCAATGAATGGGTTAATGTCTCGGACAAAGTCTCTTGACAAACATACCTTTCACGTTTACATAACCAGGAAGGCAGAGTTTTAAGCTTGATTCTCACTCTTTTAACAGAACAGGATCAGGTATTTTCTTCAACCATTTCATTGAAGTCAACCTAACAGCTCTATGGGAAATCTAAAATCTAAACTTAGTACCTGTACCGCCTTAAAGTGATAGCTAATATATATGCATGCATTCACTATCAGATAATCATCCTTTCTGCCCACACCCCCTCACCTCCTTTGCCCCCTCCTCTGGGCTCCTGACTCTTTCTGGGGACTCTTGTGGCCTAGAGGTTAAGGTGTGCGCCTCTCATTCAAAGGTCCCGGGGTAGTGACCGAAAAAAAAATTCTTCTCTTAAATTGTTTCCTTTCATCTCCTTTCCTGCTCTCTAACAATGTTCTGTTGTCTGATTTCGTCTCCGTTTTCTGTCCCCTCCTCTCGGCTCCTGACTCTTTCTGCAGCCTTTTAACTGTTTCTCCTTGGCTCCTTCTTACTGCCGTCTTTCAGCCACACCCCTGATCTTCTGGTAGGAAAGATCTGCACCTAGTCTTCTCAGAAAAGGGCGAAAAATCTCAGAGGTCCCGAATGTAAGTTGCGCACGTTAAAGATCCCTTGGTGGTCCAAAATCGATAAGAGTAGGCTTCGGCTGCCACCCGGGCAATATTCCAAATTTCCTACCAACTGAAAAATGTTTAGTGTGTCCCGCGCCCTCATATGATGACCACATGCAGTTGCGAGCGCCGTAAAACACTTACCAAAACAAATTTTTTTTAAATTACTTTCTGCAGCCTTTCTACTGCTACTTCCTGGCTCTTTTTTACTGCTGTCTTTCAGCCACACTCTTGATCTTATAGTAGATCGAACAATTAGCCTTCTCGGATTAAGACGAAAAATCTTGAAGGTCAAGTCAGCAAGTAGCGCACGTTAAAGATCCCTTGATGGTCCAAAATCGATAAGAGCAGCCACCCATGCAAAATTCAAAACTAATTCCTTCCAAAAACTAAAAATGATTAATGAGTCCCGCCCGCTCATATGACCTTATGTAGTTGCGAGCGCCGTAAAACATTTACCCAAAAACAAAAAAAAACAAAAAAATATTTATCCCTTTCAAAGAGTTCAAAGAGTATGGGCGTATGCACGTTGAAGGGCCTTTGCTCGGAACACCATGTTGAGGCTTTTATGCAGCCCTTTTTTTGGTGATTTTCTCAAATTATAATATAATATTATTGGGCCTCTTGCAGCTTCAATGGTTATTTCAAATAGTATAATCAACACTCTGCTATATTCTGATTATCCTTTCTTTTCATAAACAAAAAACTCAAACCTGACACAATGTAATGTTTCCCTCACCTTTACATTCTATAACTTGATGTGCAAGCTTCACAGGCTCCAAGCCCAGCAAGTGAAGTGTAGAACCAGACTCCAAGGTCGTTTTCATTTCATCGATGTTCAGCCAATATCCATTTTCGGAAGTCTGCATACATTTACAAGATAAAAAAGGAAAAAGACTCTACAACAGTTAAAATTTTGATTGACTCATGTGAGTCACTTTTACACAGCTAACTCCAGGGTCTATAAATAGTTTTTTTTTTAAACAAAAAAAACAAGACTACAAGAAATGGTTTACATTTAACAGATGAATTACTTACAGTGACATTTTAAAATTTTTTAATAAGAAGTATGATGTAGCATCTATATAAATAAAATAGACAAAATTTCTGAGGTCTGGAAATCTAAACAAGAGCATTTAAAGAAAAGTTGTCTCTTGTTAATTCATATGAGAAACTTATTTGTACTGAAGTACTGGCACACAGGCTATCAAGTAAAATTTGCTGATCTAAAAAAAATATGGTCTATCATATCTTTCATTAAACAGTGCATGATGTAGTGACAATGAAAAATGCCAAGAAAGCAATTGGGTTAAGAATACACATAATTAAGATATACCTTAACATTTTCAGAATTCACACTGGCATAGAAGAAGACAAACAAATGTGACGAACTGTTTGTGAATCTGACAAACTGATTTCTGAGGAGGCCTTTCAGGTTCGACTTTTCACCTGTGATCTGAAATGGCAAGATGAAAAAAAAAAAGATTTTTTAAAAACACATTTCAACAAGCAGGCTTAATTATAAAGTTAAAAGCTACAGAACACAAATCAAAAACAATTCTTTTGGCATTTACCTATAAATCAAAATCAACTATAAGAATATCCAAATCATTAAGAAGACCTCTTTCTCCTAAATTACAGTCAAAGCCACATTCATCAAGCCCCACCAACATTTTTTCTCAACAAGGCACTTGTATTGCTTGTATAAATGAGTCATGTCTGCTTGAGAAGTATAAAGAATGTATGAGTAAGATTTAAACCTACCTTAACTACCCCTATGGTTACGGCCAGATCAGTGTACTAGGTCAAGTCAGTTCCAAGTGGAGAGTTTAATTTTACTTCAATCAACAAAGGAACTTGGTAACTAAACCATCAAACTTAAGAGACATAGCATAAAAGGTGCTGTAAGTTTTTATAGTTCAGCATAGAAAAAAGATTATAGTGATGGCTAAAAAATAATTGGTTCAATAGGGGGACTGATTTTGTGGGGAACAGGTCAAATTACTTCCAAAGGGTATCTTTTTGCTCTTTCTTCTTGCCTTCATTGTCAAATAAAACATCTACAAAATTTAAAAGAAAACTGCAATAAAAATCAGAGGAAAGACAATGACCAAGGGCCAGGGGCATAACATGCAAAACATTAAAAATTTGTGTGTGTACCTGCAGAAAGGTTCAATAGTCAGAAACTTTGGATTTTGAAATAAGGACACAGTCTTTGTAGCAAATTCAAAGCTGAACAAGCTGATTACGAAATGTTTCACACATCTTGGGCAGTTTTAATATAAAGATATGCCATATTTTGCAACGAAGTGACTATTCAGACTCAAGTCCGAATATGATAAAATGTTAATCGGACTCTGATTCTTGTCCAGCATGACATCACTTCCGACTTCCTGTGACTCGTGACTCCGGCTTCCTGTC